CAGGTTCAAGCAATTCTCCTGCCTCAGCCTCCCGAGTAGCTAGGATTACATGCATGTGCCACCATGCCCGACCACTTTTGTATTTTTATGGAGACAGGTTTTCTCCATGTTGGCCAGGCTGGTCATGAACTCACGACCTCAGGTGATCTGCCCACCTCAGCCTCCCAAAGTGCTGGGATTACAGGCATGAACCACCATGCCTGGCCTACAGATAATCATCTTTAAAATGATAAAAGCAGGTTTCAGATGTGGTTCTTCTCTGGGATGAGAAGGTGAAGATACATGTGGGTGATCTACTGATTTACCTTCTGAAAGTACTCTTTGGAAGCAGCTGAATTTGGCTTGATTGTAGGAGAATCCGGTGTGTCCAGTTCACTGGGCAGACCTCTACATGGGTCATTACATACTGGAATGCCTTCACCAAGAGGAGGATTTCAGCCCACTGGGAGGTTATTGACATTCAAGTCCTTAATGACTCCACTGGGGTTAATTCTGAAGAGACCTCTTAGCACAAGGCCAGGACCTTCTAACAGCACACCATAGTCTCGGGAAATTTGCGTAGTTAATTCTGGTAAGAGTGCGATGTTCATGTGGCCCAAACCACCATTCTTTCTTTCTTTTTTTTTTTTTTTTTTTTGAGATGGAATCTCGCTCTGTCGCCAGCCTGGAGTGCAGTGGCTGGATACTCTGCTCACTGCAAACTCAGATTCCCAAGTAGCTGGGACTACAGGTGCATGCCACCACGCCTGGCTATTTTTGTAGTTTTAGTAGAGATGGGGTTTCACCATGTTGGCCAGGATGGTCTCAATCTCTTGACCTCATGATCTGCCCACCTCAGCCTTCCAAAGTGCTGGGATTACAGGTGTGAGCCACCGCTCCCGGCCTACCATTCTTTCTTGGTGTATTTATCCAGGCACACTGGCTAAAGTGGGAATCCACTGAGGCTGCAACAACTTCACAGTTCACATCGTGAAATTCCTTAGCAATGAGTGAGCCGAGATCGTGCCACTGGACTCCAGCCTGAGCGACAGAGCAACACTCTGTCTCAAAAAAAAAAAAAAAAATCCATACGATAGAAGAAAAGCACCAAATATTTCTCCTTAAAGTCATCAAGGCTTAGGTCTTTGAACTCTCCATTAACAATGGCAGTACCCTTAAAATAGGGTGCATAGTGGGTGATATCAGGTGCATGGTATGAGGAACTGGTACTAGAGAATTTTGCTTGACCGGAACCAGACCGCAATATATTTGTCAAGCTCGTTCTTCCAGAAGCAGCAGGCCTGACGGCTGCAGTGGCAGAAATGCCCCAAGGACTGGCAGTCATATGTCAGACAGCTGACACTCAGAGCAACCTTCCCACAGCAGCTGCCATTTTCAGTGCACGTGTTTTATTTTTTTGAGACAGGGTCTCACTCTGTCACCCAGGCTGAAGTGTAGTGGCACAACCTCAGGTCACTGCAGCCTCAACCTTCCAGGCTCAAGCCATCCTCCCACCTCAGCCTCCTGAGTAGCTGGGACTATAGGTGTGCACCACCATGCCCGGCTAATTTTTTAATATTTTAGATAGAGATGAGTTTTGTCATGTTGCCCAGGCTGGTCTTAAACTCCTGGGCTGAAGTGATCCTCCTGCCTCAACCTTCCAAAGTGCTAGGATTACAGGTGTGGGGGCACATTGTCTCTAAAAATCAATCAGTTAAATAAGTAAAGTAGTTTTTCTCTCCCTCTGATTATAACAGTAACATATTAGCAAAGTTACTGGTGCTTTCATGGGGTTGAATGAAGTTATGATGGGTAGTTCACTTAATGTTGTTCTTCAATGTTTTAATTTTTTTTTTTTTTTTTTGAGACAGAGTCTTGCTGGTTGCCTAGGTTGGAATGTAATGGCGCAATCTTGGCTCACTGCAACCTCTGCCTCCCAGATTCAAGCAATTCTCCTGCCTCCTAAGTAGCTGGGATTATAGGCATGTACTACCATGCCTGGCTAATTTTGGATTTTTAGTAGAGATTGGGTTTCTCCATGTTGGTCAGACTGATCTCGAATTCCAACCTCGGGTAATCTACCCACCTCAGCCTCCCAAAGTGCTGGGATTATAGGTGTGAGCCACCATGCCCAGCCCTATGTTTTAATTTTTTACAACAGACTTAAAAGTTTTTTAAATACATGTAATTGGCCGGATGCAGTGGCTCACACCTGTAATCATATCACTTCGGGAGGCCAAGGTGGGTGGATCACTTGAGATCCGGAGTTTGAGACCAGCCTGGCCAACATGGTGAAACCCCATCTCTACTAAAAAGACAAAAATTAGCCAGGTGCGGTGGCTCAAGCCTGTAATCCCAGCACTTTGGGAGGCCGAGGCGGGTGGATCACGAGGTCAAGAGATCGAGACCATCCTGGTCAACATGGTGAAACCCCGTCTCTACTAAAACTACAAAAAATTAGCTGGGCATGGTGGCGCGTGCCTGTAGTCCCAGCTACTCAGGAGGCTGAGGCAGGAGAATTGCCTGAACCCAGGAGGCGGAGGTTGTGGTGAGCCGAGATCGTGCCATTGCACTCCAGCCTGGGTAACAAGAGCGAAACTCCGTCTCAAAAAAAAAAAAAATTAGCAGGGCATGGTGGTGCATGGCTGTAATCCTAGCTACTCGAAAGGCAGAGGCACAAGAAAATATAGGAAGGTACAAAGAAACAAGTAATAATTATCTATAATACCATTTTCCAGAGGTTGCCATTGTTAATATGGGATATATCTTCTTCCACCCATCTTTCTCACATATTTTTATCTGCATATGCATTTGTTTTCCAAAAAAATCGATGATAGGCTGTTTTGTTTTGTTTTGTTTTTTGAGATGGAGTTTCACTCTGTCACCCAGGCTGGAGTGCAGAACGCAATGGTATGATCTCGGCTCACTACAACCTCTGCCTCCCATATTCAAGCAATTCTCCTGCCTCAGCCTCCCCAAGTAGCTGGGATTACAGGTGCACACCACCATGCCCAGCTAATTTACATATATATATTTGTTTAGTGGAGACAGGATTTCACCATGTTGGCCAGGCTGGTCTTGAACTCCTGATGTCAAGCGATCCACCCACCTTGGCCTCCCAAAGTGCTGGGATTACAGGTGCGAGCTACCACACCTGGCCTTTTTTTTTTTTTTTTTTAAGACAGAGTCTTGCTTTGTTGCCCAGGCTGGAGCGCAGTGGCACCATCTCAGCTCACTGCAACCTCCTGCTGCAACTTCTATCTCCTGGGTTCAAGCAACTCTCTTGCCTCAGCCTCCCAAGTAGCTGGAATTACAGGTACCCACCACCATGCCGGCTAATTTTTGTTATTTTTAATAGAGATGGGGTTTCGCCATGTTGGCCAGGCTGGTTTTGAACTCCTGACCTCAGGTGATCCGCCTGCGTCGGCATATCAAAGTGCTAGGATTATAGGTGTGAGCCACTGTGCCCAGTGGCTGGGCTGTTTTTCTTTTTTTCTTTTTTCTTCTCTTTACCCGAGAACCAGCTGGCTGTCTTTCAATCTGCCTGTTTCACTTGGCAATGGGGAACATCTTCCAATTCAATAGATTCATCTCTGAAAACATCACTTTTGATGGCTTCATACTGTTCTATCATGAATATACCACATATTTAACTAGTTCACTACTATTGAACACCTGGATTGTCCTGTTTTTGTTTTTTCAATGTTATGAAGAATATAGTAGAGAATATTTGTGTAACAGTCTCTGGGTGCATCCATTATTCTGTTCTTGGGATACATTTTGAGAAGTGGAATTGTTGGGCAATTCCTTTTACCTGTTTCTAGGGTTTTTGATAAATATTATCTAATTGGCACAGGAAAAGGTTTGCCATTTCTGATGTGTAGTATTTGACTGACTTTTTCAGGACAGGAAGATGCCACCCAAGCGCATAGCTAAAAGAAGGTCACCCCCAGAAGATGCCATCCCCAAAAACAAGAAGGTGAAGGGTAAGTTGACCTTGGCCTCTTTGTGGGTACAGATGGCCCCTTGAAACCATAAGAACCTGGGACTGGGCTCCTTCCTTCCTGACACTTGAAGCTGAAGGGTATGGATGTGCAGAGACCCCACCCAGCTGGAAGGTTTCTTATAGCAAATTCAATCCCACCCTCTGGGAATCACAAAGTGGGCAGAAACTCCTCTCGAGGTACTCAGGCAGTACTGGCAAAAAAACTAGACTGTAGGGCTTCATCCCAGGCAGTGATGCATTATGATGATTAGGACCACTGACTTTCCGACATGGGGTTCAAGTCCTGGCTCTGCCAACTTTCTTGCTGTGTAACCATGGGCAAGTCACTTAACCTTGCAGTTTGAATTATCCACTTCATAAAATGGAGGCGTCCAGAGCAGTGCCAGCCTCTCTGGGCTGTGTGAGGATGAGATGAGATAATGGCCTGGCAGCATTTGAGGGAGGTAGCTGTGGTTTCCTCTGTCCTGGGACCCCGGAGGGGGACAGGGAGGAGAGAAAAGCCACCACCAATCTGGGAGGGGGAGTGTGGAATCACGCTCAGACAGTGTCTGTCTCTTGCAGGCGCGAAAGCCGCGGCATCTTTTGCAGCCTCCCACTGCGTTCCCGGCGCCCACTCCAGCCAAGGTGCCTACGGGCCGAGCCCTCCTGACCAGAAAACCCGACCAGGTGGCTCTGCGCCCAGCTAGCCCTCTGTGGTGCTGCCGAGGGCCAGGCAGCTGTGGCCACACCCCCGAGGAAGGGGCTGGGCGCCACTGGCTGCCCGGGGCTGCAGGCGGCAGCCATTGGCCCACAGAGGGTCCCGGGTCCCCCACTGGTTGGCGCATACCTCCCGCAAATGCCGCTGTCCACTCTTCCTCCTGCACCTCCTGCCTCTCTGCTGGTTGGCAGAGGGAGGGCTCCATTTCCGCAGTGGATTTGCCCAGGAGCTGAACTTATTCACTGGTGAATGCCCTGGGCATGGAGGAGAGCTAGGATGGAGATGGGGAACTGTGCTCCGACCCACGTAGTCTCCATTGCTTTCGGTGCAGACTCTACTATTATAGTAATTAGCTTTTCTTTTGAGAAGGAGTCTAGCTCTGTCACCCAGGCTGGAGGGCAGTGGCGCGATCTCGGCTCACTGCAACCTCTACCTCCCGGATTCTCTTGCCTCAGCCTTTGGAGTAGCTGGGATTACAGGCACACGTCACCGTGTCCAGCTAATTTTTGTATTTTTAGTAGTGATGGGGTTTCACTGTGTTGGCCAGGCTGGTCTCGAACACTTGACCTTGTGATCTGCCCACTTTGGCCTCTCAGAGTGCTGGGATTAACGGCGTGAGCCACCATACCGGCCTGTAATAATTAGCTTTTTGATTTTGGGACAGTTACTGAACTTCTCAAAGGCTCTGTTCCTTTTTCTATAAAATAGGATCCTAAATATGGACCTTGATTTAGGGGGGACTACAAAATAATTCAGAATTAGAATAAGCAGTCACCAAAGGGTAGACATTATTATCTGAGTCCTGACTTTTAACACCATGGCTCCAGACTTATAGCTAATTAGGAAAGCTGAATGCTGTCTTGTGTCCTCACAGTTTTCTTTCCCTCTCTCTCTTTTTTTCTTTTTTTTTTTTTTTTTTGAGATGGCATCTCACTCTGTCTCCCAGCCTGGAGTGCAGTGGCATGATCTCAGCTCACTGCAACCTCCACCTCCTTGGTCCAAGCGATTCTTCTGCCTCAGACTCTGAGTAACTGGGACTACGGGTGTGCACCACTATACCTAATTTTTGTATTTTTAGTAGAGGCAGGGTTTCACCATATTGGCCAGGCTGGTCTTGAACTCCTGGTCCCAAGGAATCTGCCTGCCTCGGCCTCCCAAAGTGCTGGGATTACAGGTGTGAGCCACCACATCTGGCCCCTCTTTCTGTCTTCTCCAAGACTCATTTCACAGTATCCAGTGTCTCCTTGTTTCCATTTCTCTCCTTTTATATGAATAATATGCTGGGTTTTTAATCTTCACAAAAACCCTGTGAGAGAGGTATTTTTGTTGTCCCCATTTCACAGATGACAAAACGTAGGCTCAGAAAGTTCACACTAATGGTCTGTGGCAGAGCAGGGGCTTCTACCCAGGTTTGTGTGATCCCAGAGCCTGTGACCTCTCCTCGCTGTCATCATCTTACACATTCAGGGGCTATCTTCTTCACCCTTCAGTCTCACACAGGTCCCACAGCACAGAACCCGGCTTGGTGCTGACACTGGGCCAGGGCGATGTAGGCCAGCTGGGGCTGGGTGAGAATGTGATGGAGAGGAAGAAACCGGCCCTGGTATCCATTCCAGAGGATGTTGTGCAGGCTGAGGCTGGTGGCATGCATACCGTGTGTCTAAGCAAAAGTGGCCAGGTAGGTGTTGGGAGCTGGCACAGCATTGGACAAGGCCTGGGGTTGGGTGGCTTGGGACAGGGCTTTTGAACCACACATGTTCACTGTGGAAATGGAGCTGGCTAGTCAAGCGGGGAGTGGCCTACATGAGAATAGACTGCAAGGCCAGACTTTGTATTAATGAGGCCATCCTGGGCACAGGTCTACTCCTTCGGCTGCAATGATGAGGGTGCCCTAGGAAGGGACACATCAGTGGAGGGCTCAGAGACGGTCCCTGGGAAAGTGGAGCTGCAAGAGAAGGTGGTACAGGTGTCAGCAGGAGACAGCCACACAGCAGCCCTCACCGATGATGGCCGTGTCTTCCTCTGGGGCTCCTTCCGGGTAAGGCTGGGTCTGGAAGTCTGCATGGGGCCTGAAAGGCAGAATTAATTAGTGGGGTCCCAAAGATAATCCATTTCCATACTCCCATGGTACTTACTGGTGGGGAGATGAAAGCCCACAGGTAGAGCTGAGGTCCAGACCCAGGATGATAGCTTCTTCATGTGGCGCTGTCCACACCACTGACTGCTTCCTTGAATCTGATGTCATCAAGTGTATGTCCTGGGAAGAGAGTAGGTCAAGGATGCCCCTGGCTTGAGGCTGATCCAGGAAGCCTACTGTCTTCACCCATCTCCCTGCCTTCTGTCTCCCCATCACCTTGCCAGCACTGCCTGTTCCACACTTCCTAGAGGCTTGGATGGGGCAAGGATGTGTGGAGGCAGGGATTGTCACATCTCAGAGTTTCCAAGGCAAAGAGGAATGTAGTTTAAAAAACAGATTCTGTTTGTTTGTTTGTTTATTTTTGTTTTTTGAGACAGAATCTTGCTCTGTCGCCAGGCACCAGGCTGGAGTGCAGTGGCGCGATGGCTGACTGCAACCTCCGCCTCCCAGGTTCAAGCAATTCTCCTGTCTCAGCCTCCTGAGTAGCTGGGATTACAGGCTCACGTCACCATGCCCAGCTAATTTTTGTATTTTTAGTAGAGACGGGGTTTCATCATGTTGGCTATGATGGTCTCAATCTCTTGACCTCATGATCCATCCTCTTTAGCCTCCCAAAGTGCTGGGATTACAGGCGTGAGCCACTGCGCCTGGCCTGTTTTTTTGTTTGTTTGTTTTTTTAAGATGAAGTTTCGGTCTTGTTGCCCAGGCTGGAGTGCAATGGCACGATCTCAGCTCACCACAACTTCCACCTCCCGGGTTCAAGTGATTCTCCTGCCTCAGCCTCCCAAGTAGCTGGGATTACAGGCATGTACCACCACACCCTGCTACTTTTGTATTTTTAGTAGAGACAGGATTTCTCCATGTTGGTGGTCAGGCTGGTCTTGAACTCCCGATCTGAGGTGATCCTCCCGCCTCAGCCTCCTAAAGTGCTGGGATTACAAGTGGGAGCCAGCGTGCCTGGCCCAGATTCTGTATTAAAATTGTTTTATGGCCAGGTGTGGTGGCTCACGCCTGTAATCCAACCACTTTGGAGGCCAAGGCGGGTGGATCACCCGAGATCGGGAGTTCAAGACCAGCCTGACCAACATGGTGAAACCTCGTCTTTTTTAAAAAAAAAAAAAAAAAATTGTTTTAGTACTTTGATATTTAATTTTTTTGAAATGTCAGAAATAAAGGAATCTGATGAGTGTTTTCCTTTCTTTTTTTTTTTTTTTTTTTTTTTTTTTTTTTTTTTT